CAAAAATTTTACTTTTTTTTTTGCACCTGGCGGAAGTTACATAATTAGGAATCGATCAGAATCCTTATCTTTCGATTCCATACTTTATTCTTTATAAGGAATAACTTAGATATATATATATATGTAACTTACGTAAGGTCTTATGTACTTAATCAAATACAGCTGCGGACGTCGTTGCTCATCTGCTGTTAATCATAGTTTGTGACAGTAATAAATGAGTAGCATCCTATTTCTTGACACGTAATTTTTATTTTATTCTCCCCTTCTTTGTTAAGTTATTGGTGTTTGCTTTATACCAGGTTTTCTTTCTAGCAGGCACAAACTTCCCTTCTGGTGCAGTATCTTCATTCGTCTTTCCTAAAATTCTTTCTTTTGTATGAAACTAGAACCTACGGTACTAATATAATCATTATCAACTTAGATACCAAAGCATTTGGTTGAAAACAATAAAACATTAATTTCTTAGTTACACCATTTAGATTTGTTTGAACAAATGTTTGTTTCTTGTTAAGCACAAAGCTACACAATGGGTTACCCGTGCTTTGCCTACCGTGGGTATCGAAACTCGATTTTTAGCATTATAAGCCGTCAGACTTATTGATGAGCCACCGGAGGGCTTTTTAAATGATGAATTAAGAGTTAATTATTAGTAGATGATTAAAACTATTGTAATATACAGAGGATACCAATTTACAAAATATTAATAGTTTATCAGTTCTAGTCACAGCTCTTCTGTTTACCCACAATTAGTATAGCTTTTTTGAATTGCGCGTTTACTTCTACTAGAAATATTGATCATCACTGTAAATTTTTGAACTGAGATTTCTGTAAGATTGAATTTTTTAATGTACATCTGGAAATCAACTCAGGTTTTCCTTACACTGAAAACTGTCTCGGATTGCTTATAATGAGCATTATCGTCAGTGTTATGTATTTACTAGTTTGGTAGTACTAATACTCTTCCCATATTGTTTCTGTTGAAATGCCCTAGAGTTCCAGTCTGGTTATTTTGAATATTGTATGAAATCGTGCTGTACCGAACATTGTCTCAGGATGATAATTTAGTCTTATTACATATCGTTTACGAGATGAAAAAGAATGGTGAAACCTGGTATAGTCTTGGGTTTATCACATATCGCTGAATCTGGTCAGTTTTAAGAAATGTTGTCTCTCATCAGTAAATCAGAACTAAAGTCAAACCAAAAAGAAAAAGAAAAGCAAAGACTAGGTCTTTTGCATTGGTGATCTGCAGATAACTTGTATGGTGTTTCTTATATTATTTACTCACCATAAATAACCAATATTGTTATAAGTATTAGAAAGATAGGAAATATTAATGCTGCCAAATAATTATTCTATACTATTTATGCTACTCTATAACACAGACTTACTATTTGAAATAATGAAAAAAAAATATTATCACTCAAATATTTTACTTTGTTTCATAGTGTTTATACTCAACATTGCTCTAGATTGAGTGTATTGAAAATTTTCTCATATTATGCCAGTCAGTTTTAATTTAAAAATTTTCCAGCTTATTTACAAAAAGACTTTATAAGATTGATTTTATCCAACATTGATCAATTTTGTTTTTATATATTCAAAATTATCTAAGGTTGATTATACTTAACAGAGATCCTGACAGATCATAATGAATACTGTTTCAGGTTTTTCAAAGCTTTACATGTTAAAGTGGTGATCAGTCTTGCCAGTGCCTTTTTTTATAGATTTATTTTTTCAAAATACGTATTTGTTATATATCTTACTGTTATATGCAAATTATCTTATGCAACACTGTTTCCCCTTCTCTCCAGAACAAGAAGTACCCCTTTAAGCTGTCATTTTGTACTAATTAATTGATCAAAAACTGTTTCATAAATCATTGAGTACGGCTTATTGTAATTTCTGTTTTATGCCGGTATTTATAGATGATGATTTAGTTACATACATCATTTCACACTTTGACCTAAAAATCAAGTGTGGAAAAAATCGTGTTTATTTATTAGTTGTGTTATCAACAAAGTAAGTGAAGGCAGTTTACAAGACATCGTATGTAGTGTTTTATGAAGTGTTAAAGAGTAAAGTTTCGGCGCACTTTTCAATTTTACCTTGCTCCAGAGTACTCACTTTGTTAAGGTTTTATTGTCTCCTGGATATTAAATGAAATATAAAATAAGATAGAATGTTCTAATTATTTCATATTTAAATTATTTCTGCGCCTGTTAGCGATATATATATATATATCAGGATTTAAACGAATCAGAGTATATCGTTTTCTTTACTTGACAGACGTATTTGAAAAAGAATCCAAGTTCACAGTTGATCTGTTACTTTATTCTCGTATTTTCAAACTTAGACATGGAAACTGCTACAGGACTAGAGTTACAGGATGAACAAAGTAGGCAACTGTTTGGGGCTGCAAAATAAAAATAATCTTAATGGATGAATTCATTTGCCAAGATCGCTGCGCATTTATAGTATCACTTTTTGTTTATGTTGATGATAAGTTTCCTCTAGTTGAGCATGACTGCTGTAAATATCCAAGGGAATAGTATGGACGCAGTGTTTACTTCTTCCTATAAAGCACAAATAAACATTTTTTTAAAACGTAAAATAAGAAATTTCAAAAAGAAAATCAGGAAACTAGACCACTGTAGCATATGAGCAAGGCACCAGCTAGACAGATAATATTTTAATATTTTTCTTTCAGGAATAACACAGAATAAAAATATTATTTTAACCTTTATTGTTAAGTTTGTAAAGAAGAAATATACATACAAAAGTAACAATTGAAATAGTGGTATGTCAAGACTAGTTAGAAGTGAACTTAAGAAAAACATGAATAATGGAAAGCATCGTCTTTCTGTTGCTCAAGTTTGGAAAAAGAAAATAGGAAAACCAAAAGAACGCTCTTCTTAAAAATCTCAACGACACTAATTAAAAGCCTATTTCTACAACATGCTGTACCAGAAACAACAACTTCTCATGACAAAGACGATTATAAAGAGGACAAGCAGATACAAAACGATAAATACATGTGTATTTGATATTGGTGATCTAGTTAACTGGCCACGAATCGATTCAAGGTGCGAAAGGTGTTGACAAAATAGCTGCGGACATTATTCTTTATCAAAGGTGGTGAAAGAAGGAAGTTCACAACGAGGCACCACATAAGACGACTTATCAATTGAGAAGTATCAAGACCATTGTCAATAATCAGTCAAACGCGATTCAGTGTTGTTTTTTTGTTGCAAGATTTTCAGCACAACTATCTTCACTTTATTGTAGTCAAACTAAATAAAGGACAGGGCTATTTTATCAGCACTTGTTGGCATGCATAAAAAGTCAGTAAGTCGCCTAGAAGCTTTTAGCAGTGTAAAATTATTAGGATCTTAACTGAAAATCAATCAAACCATTTGTTGTAGAAAATCAGTGCCAGATTAAAAACAAGAGACAAAAGCATTGACAATAAGCATTTAAAATATTTACTTCCTTGTTAATAGTTCATGAAACTCAAAATATTGCACGTGATAGAAGTCACGAGAAGCTCTTTATACATGGAAGTTGCTTGAAATGTTTGACCAAATTTGAGGTTGTCATGAAATTATTCCTTAGAAGAATTACCATTCCAGAAATTTCTAAGTACTATCTGAGAGAGAACATCACGAGAAGCTCTTTATACATGGAAGTGGAAGTTGCTTGAAATGTTTGACCAAATTTGAGGTTGTCATGAAATTATTCCTTAGAAGAATTACCATTCCAGAAATTTCTAAGTACTATCTGAGAGAGAACATCCACAATGATTTGATCCGAGAATTACCATTCCAGAAATGTCTAAGTACTATCTGAGAGAGAACATCCACAATGATTTGATCCGAGAATTACCATTCCAGAAATGTCTAAGTACTATCTGAGAGAGAACATCCACGATGATTTGATCCGAGATCATGCATGTGCTGACTGCTACTAGAAATGTTAAGTATACCCGATTTTGTTCAGATGTTCTTCAAATATAAATCATACAGAACAGATGACAACAATCATTTGGTTTGTCATAGCCACTGAGGCATCTGCAATTGAAAATGTTAAGATCGGCGTCAAATACATTTCCTTGTATTTTTACCGCTGAAAGTAGTACCAGTTTAACTGTAGTAAAATTCGAGATGGGGGCTGAACTTTGATTAAGGAGGCAAAATATATAACATTGGGGCTGTGAAAATCATCAATAGAACAATTTCTAGACTGTTTAGAAAATCATTATTTTGATCCTACTAGCTTATGTCTAGAAAAGTAAAAGTTGCTCCGAAAAAGATGAATTATACAGTCAATAGTCTGACCAAGACATGGCTGCTTAAAATAATTCTGTAATCGTGAAAACATCTCAAGCATTAACCAGTTCTCAATAAACCTAAAAATGTTATAAAATTGAAAGAAATAACAGATGATTATTAACTCTTTTATATATACATTTATACTCTTCCGAGATTTCCAATAAATTGATACCAAATCAAATCGATTCAAGACCGGGTATCTAACTGGCATAAAAGAAACGCACGGGCACTAGAGTAGATAAGAACCATATTATCATTATAACATATGCTTGCTTCCAAACTTCATATCAAGGAATTTCTACTATCAAAATATTAGTCAAATGGTGGCAAGAATAAAAAAAAGGCGAATCCAAAATTGAAAAAAAAAATTAGTTTAGTAATATATAACAAAAGAAAACGTGCATATATTTAACATCTTACAAACTACATTTCAATTACACTATAGAAATTCGTGGGTTTAAAAACCCTATTTCAACTCAGTTACGTATGATGATGTTCTTTAGTTTTCGTAGCTCGTGTAAATGGAAGCGTCCCGGTCTACTACTATTCGTTGTTCTTGCCTGTTTTATTTTCTTTTTTTTTCTGTGATGCTGTCTGCACAAATTCCTGTTGCGACTCCAGCGCGTGCTGAGAACAGCTGCTGTGCTGTCTTGCGGTTCGTTTCTTGTGCAGTTGTGGCAAGAAGCGCATGTGGCTCGCGTGCACGTGAGTTTTCTTGTTCATATGGTTTTGAACACCACAGTTCTGTAAATTATTTTCTCTCTAAGTGTGAAGTCCTATCTTCGTGACTTAACATACTTGCTACTAATGACAAAAACGTCAGAGAGTCTTGTCTTGGTAACATGCAAAGCCATAGCCAAACATCTTTCCTCAACTAATATGCATTATAACTGGGTAATTGTGTTGACGTGGTTATCTTCTTTTCTTGGTAGCAAGGCCCTACCGGAGGTCATCAAATTAGGTAAGGTTGCTTTAACTGCATTGCAGAAAAAATTATGTTTGTGTTAAATTTGAATAAGATTCAGTTTTGCTTTATCATGATGTTTTGTGATGACTTAGGACTGTAAGATAAAATAATTATAATAATCCTAGTATTTTTAGTCCAAACAAAAAGCGGTTAGTGAAAGAAGATCGATAAGAGTGAGATATTTGTAACGGGAAAACTGTGAGAAGCGTGTTATATCAGGCCTAACGAATAATAAGAATCTAGATTACATTTCATAAAGCGTATAGTATAGTATAGTGCTTTTTCTTAGAACTGAAATTATTTAACACTCTGTGGTTGGTACGTTATAAATTATTCTATAAAAGATTAACTAGTTTTTAACGTAGAGAAAACTACTCTGCAAATACTTGTATAACAAACGTTTACATTTCTAGCAAAAGAAAAGAGCTTCGACGTTCATATTATTCCATTACAAATACTTTAAACGTATTGTTCTAAATACCTGTCAGAATTGGTTGCCATGCCTTTACAAAGGAATTCATTATTGTACGAAGCTCTCTTATAAGATAATTCACTGCACTAAACAAAGGAAAATTGGAACTTGGAACACTCTAGTTATGACAAGGCAAAAATACCGTTATAAAATAATGTCACTCACTACCAATCCTCCAGCTCCCTTTCTTCCAAGTGATACATCTGAAGATCCTTCATGTGATGTGAAATGCAAATGATTTGTTGTCCAACATATGCCCATAAGTGAACATTTGGTAGAGGTGACTTTACGTTTTTACAGTTCATTACATTTCACTTTATTATGAAGTACGTTTCCACAAACTACAAAAATACCGAATAATCGCTGTTGTATGCTTAAAATCAGAGTGTTGATAAGGTCCTGACATATTTTCGTTCACTCTTCAGGAAGAACTGTTTCCAACCATCTTCAATTTCTAGAGTCACTTGATGGACTGCAGTGTGTTTCCTCAGATCATCCAGTACACACCTGATGGGAATGAAGACCAGTGTGCCACTTCTTTTGGCTAGTCTTATTCAAACAATGTGTCGAACGGTTTAGCAATGGACACGACCATCATCATTCATTCTGCTAAAGTCAGAGTCAATTGTACCAGGATATGGCAGCACAAGTAATGAGCTGCCACTTGCCACTGTGTTGTTTGTCCAGTTTCCAACGCTTAATAGCTCTAACAGTATATTTCTGTGAAAATACACAACGAGTTACCAGCAGAGAACGTTGCCAAACAGTTAAATGACAACAATAACTAAACCTGAAATGATTACCATACAGCTAATCAGCAAATCTATATAAAATAACATCTGGGTACTAACTATCCATGACGGATAGCACGTTCAAAATGCACGTTCTCATTGTATGTGGCGCGTGAAATGTAGTGTCCACTTTACGAAAAGTGCGACGTTTGATGACAAATTTTTCATTTTGAGAAAAGTATACCAAAATAGCTAAGTTAAAATAATGTTTATAAAACTTCAAGTATACATAATAAGTTAAATTTTATTTTCTCAGTTTCAGTTACAATTTCAAAGAATCAGGTGTAAATTAATCTAAACACCAAAAATATATGAACTAAATAGACCTGTCCTTTTAAATGGCAAAGATTTGTGTAATTATCAATAATAGATATTTTAATATCAACCATATATGAACTAGTCTAACTTGTGTCTTTCAATAATCAATTCGAATTTCAACTAATATCAAATATATAAATATGAATGTTTACCTGTTAGTCATACATTGACCATTTAAATTATAGTTTCTAAGATGATTTCAGTTTTCTAAAAATGAGACACTTTATAGTTAACTATTGGGGTCTGGTCTATATGACCCCAAGCGGTTTTATTTTGTTAATAACTAATTTTGATATTTTAAAGTTATAGATATTTTTGCACTACTATATTCACTGCAAGTTTTTGAATAAAGCAGTATAAATTTTAAACACATAACAGTTTTTCTATAAAATAATTTTGGTCAATCCCCAACAAAAGTCACTCTAGTAGTTATAAGCGTTTAGTTTTAAGGGAAAAGTTACGAGCTTCGAATCAGTTACAAAATTCATTATACCGAAACTATTTTACTGCCGGTCACTTTATTTATTTATTGCTTTCCTATTAACACTAGTTCTTAGGTTAGTCTTCCGGTGACACAGCGGTAAGTCTGAGGGCTTATAGCGCTAAAAATCGTGTTTAGATACTCGCGATGAGCATAGCACGTATAGTCCATTGTGTAGCTTTGTGCTTAATAACAAACAAACAAGATCATAAGTTAACGGCGAGTAGACATTCCAGAATAAACACACACCAAGCTCGATTCAAGAGTGTGAACTCAGAATATCATTAAGTTAAATTAAATGTAAAGACTCGTTAGTTATAATTGTCATTGTGGATACAATAAACACTAGAAATTTCTGGTCTGGATGTTTGCAAATAGTTTACAAACAAAAGAGTAGGAGGCCCAGCATGGCCAGGTGTTAGGGCGCTCGACTCGCAATCTGCGGGTCGCGGGTTCGAATCCCCGTCACACCAAACATGCTCGCCCTTTCAGCCATGGGGGCGTTATAATGTGACGGCCAATCCCACTATTCGTTGGTAAAAGATTAACCCAAGAGTTGGCGGTAGGTGGTGATGACTAGCTGCCTTCCCTCTAGTCTTACACTGCTCAATTAGAGACGGTTAGCGCAGATAGCCCTCGTATAGCTTTGCGCGAAATTCAAAAACAAACAAAAGAGTAGGACACGTTTATAAAACGACTCAAAAGTATTTGAACGTGAGGCACGCTGGGTAAACTTTCTTAAGTTTTTTTCACAGAGTTGCTATGACAACGGTATGCGACTATACTGATGATTCAAAAACGAACTGATGAACAATCCATCACTGACTGTCAGAAAGTATTCTGAAATGATGAGCAAGAAATTATCTTAATACTAACGAAACAGGTGTACTTAACAAATCTTAAAAGTTCAGTTGTGTTTAGACTGGTAGATAAGAAAATAGAAAATGTATAAACGACAGATAGTAAAAGATAGTTAGAAAAGATGAGTTTAAAAGCTTGAAAAAGGACAAAAATGATTCAAATTTTCCCCCACTAAAATTTAGAAGCATGATTAAATTTGAATGTTTTCAAAGTTGATATTAATAACACTAAACAAATTGTTTTGGGAAAATACTGGTTATATCTTAATGCTTTGATATAATTAATAAATATTTTTACGAGTAAAGACAACCAGGACTATTTTCTCGAAGTTAATATGTTTAAAGCTCAGTCGCTTCTCAAAAATCTAAATTTGATGTAGTGTATAACTGTAACAAATGATCTGAGTAAATCCTTTCCTCACATGTCACATAATCTACTATACAAAGACGAAAAGGCGTCCATCTGTCACGCCGATATCTCGGCCGTTGCGGTACCGGTCGATAGGCAACTTGTACGAAACGACGGCGCTTTCTGCCGCGACAAGCAAGTTTGTCTATTTAAAATTCTTCCACCCATATGCGCTACTTTGGATATATATATATAATTAGATTTGAGGGTAGGTTGATAGCGATCGTGATGAGTAATAAAATCGAATCGGGTATATCCGCGCCCTATGCTTGGTATTGCTGGCTCACAAATATAATAAGCATTGGCTGAAATTCCCCATTACGTTTGCTTGATTGTCAATGAGACACATTGATGCAACATCACCAAATTTTGTTCATTCGGAACCCTCAGCTACAACTCCATAATAACCCGCATGTTTTACCCGCAGCATATTTTAATTTTTAAAATGCCCAAACTAAAACGCGCTTCTTCAGCTCAACAGGCTAACAAAGCCCAAACCAGAAAGACAGTCGAAAAAGAAGATCCCGAAATTCATAATAAAATTCACTGCCTTTACCATCACAATTAATAATTTGCATACAGTTGACCAAGTAGGAATATGTGTTTGAGAATAAATGTTTTTTCGCATGTTTCAGTTTATAATGATTTATCAAGAAGAATATTTGAACACATCTTAACAATATACAGAAGTCAAAATGCTAACCAAGCAATACTTAAAGGAGATGACCAGATATACATAAAATATATTGTTTTCGTGAAATACTAGAAATAGAATAGTCATTCTTCATACATATATTGTTACTAGATTATAAATAATTTTTAG